TCATCTTAACTATAAAAATATATTTTTTTTTAGTTTTAAGTTCTTTTTTATTTTTTTTTTAGAATTTGTATTTTTTGATTGTTCTTGTTTTTTTTTATTGATTTTTCTGAAATTTTTTGTGATTCTTGCTAAAAATTTAAATTCTTTTGATTTTTTCTTTTTTTAAGGGTTCCCAGAAAAAGAATAAAGAAGAGGAAAAAAAGATAGACTTTTCTTATCTAGAACTTTTTAAGATTAATGAGTAGTGAAATAACAAAGGAAAGATTTCTTCATAAAATCAATAAAGAGACTGATGTTGCAAAAATTGTTGTTGAAATAGGAGGACTTTTATTAGGACTTGAGAAACAACAGAATGGAAATGGAGTCCAAATAATATCAGATATTATTAGTTTTTATCAAACAAATGGAACAACAATGTTAACTGAACTTATTAACAATTCACTTAAAAAGTTAGAAAATGAAAGTTATGAAGATAGTTTAGAAGAATTAAAATCTAAGTTATATTCAAAGTTTTCAGGAGAGTTTCCATTTAATAAGTCTATTGAACATAATATCAAATTAAGAAAGGCATTTGATAAACTTTATAAAAACCTTATTTCACAAGAAATACAAAATACGAGTGTTGGACTAAATCAAAAAGAATACCAGACATTAAAAGAAAAATATAATAATGCTATTAAACAAATAAATCAATATAAATTTGATATCATTGAAATTAAAAATATTATTGATGGTAAAGATAAGTCTACTACTTCTTTCAATCAAATTAATAATAGTCCTGAAATGTTTTATGATTTAAAAGAGGATATTCAAAAAATTAAAGAGTTTTGTAGTCAAGCTACTACATTAGAAAAACAAGAGTCATTTGAAACACCATCAATTTCTACTCCACCACTAAACATTCCTCAAGACAGAAGAAGTTATATTCCTGATGATGAAGATGACGATGAATTAAAAGAACTTGAAGGGTATGATCCAAACATCACAGTTGATGAGGCTAAGAGAAGAAATGTAATTAAAGATATTAAAGAAATTAAAGCAACTTTAGAAGCTAGTTTAGCCTCAAACCAAATGATTCAAAATAAAATTGCACAAGAACAAAAAGAGATTAGAAAACTTAAGGGGGTAGGGGAAGATAAAAAAACTTCTGAAGATGAAGAATTAGAAAAAGATATTTCTCAAATGGAGAAAGAATTAGAAGATAATAAACAATATACTCAGAAAGAAATTGACAACCAAACACTTATCAAAACTCCTATGGATAGTGTAGAAAAATGGGACATTAGCAAACTTCATGAATATCAAAATTCACTTGTTCAAGAATATTCTAGATCTCTTATCCGACATAATTTCTTATATGGTAAAGAAAGGTTAATGACATCTATAATTGAAGGTAAAAGTAACAGTGATGAATGGAAGAAAAGTATTGGGTTGGTTATTAAGAACGCTGATTATCATTATCTAGTAAATGAAATGAATGAAATTAAAAAAAGTATAGAAGGTGGTATCACTGAAAAAAGAGAAAGTATTAAAATGCAAGAACGTGCAAATGAAAGAAAAAAAGCGATTTCAAGTGGAAGAAGAAGTGTTAGTACTATTCAAGAAGACGCATGTGATGATATTAAGAAGCAAGTTGAAGAGAAAAGAAATAAAATTGAAGATATGTTAAATAAATATGATGAGAAATTAAGTTCAATAAAGAAAAGAGAAAAAGAATTAGTGGATAATGCTGTTGATGAGAGTGAAGTTAATAATGTTAGTCAACTCCAAAATAAAAAGAAAGAAAGACTCACATTATGTAGACAAGAACAAAAGAAGAGTATTCAAGATATGAAACTTGGAGAATTAAGATGTGAATATGAAAGACTTGAGACAATGGAAAATGAGATTCGTAGAAAAGAAAAAGTTATGGAAGAATATGAAAAAGAATTAGCTAATGCTGAGCAACAGAGAAACAACCATCAGAAAGAACTTTTTAGGAATAGTATTGAAAACAGAATTGATGAAGAGGAAAATAAAATTCAAAATGAAAGAAAAAAATTAGAAGAGAGAATCCAAAAAGGTGAAGAAGATACAGAACAATATGAAAGAGATATTACATTGTTAACTATTCAATGTGACAATGAAAAAAAAAGAAAAAATGAACTTTTGGAAGAGACTATTGACTTATGGAAAAAACTAAGAGAACGAGCAGGAATCATTAGAGATGAACAAGACAAACAAACACAAAAAGATTATGAAGAAAGTGTGAAAAGAGTCGAAGAATTGAAAAAGAGTATTGGAAGGGAATTAACTTTAAAGGAACAATGGTATAAAGTTAAATATGATTATATAAATATTCCTGTGAGTATATCAAGAATTATGGGATATAAAGAACGATGGGAAAATGAATATAATAATAAATTAGATGGTACAGGTTTATTTGTAAATGTAGAGAATGTAGAAAAATATAATGAATCTGTTAATGAAGAGAAATTTTATGAATCTATTAAGGATGGAACTATTGACACATTAATGAAAAAGATAGTTGAAGTTCCTGATACAGAGATAAGTGAAGAAGAATATATTACATCAGAAGATGAAGATTTAGAAATTGAAGAAGGAAAATTAGAAAATGAAAACGTTGATTTAACAACAAAACAAATGAAACACTTTGAACCATTTGATGAAGACGATGTTCAACCTTATGAAAAGAAACCATTTTCACCGATTAGTATTACTCCTACTCTTTCACAACAAGCAAGTACTATTGGAGAAGACGTAGAAAGTACAAACCAATGGTTCCAAGCTGATCCAAATGATGCATTTGCAAAGAATAAAGAAGAATTTGTTCAGCAAATGGTTTCTGTTAGAGACCAATTGGATGGACTAATTATTGAGTGTATTGGATTGATGGGAATGTATGCTGTTGATGATATGACTGAAGATCCAGAGCAAGCTAATAACAGCCATTAAAAAATATTTTAATTAAATTACTTTTTTTTAATAGGAAGTAAGGAATTTATAATTTTCAAGTATGTTAATTCTTAAAGGGCTATTTAAATACTAGATTTGGTTATAAATTTATAATCTAGTTTTTATTTTTAGAACATTCTAATTTATTGGATATATTTTCTTTATACGTATTACCTAGCTTTGTAAGCAAGTAAAATTGGTTTAATATTTCTCATTGTCACTACTAACTAATTTAATAATACTATTTTATTTAATGCCATTCTTTAGTATTTAACAAAAAGTTTGTTACCTTAATTTAATACAAGAAAATAAAATTGTTTAATAGATCAAAACTTACCTAACAAGTTATGGCAAATAGTTGATTACTTTTTAATTCATTTGTTGTTCTAATTATTTGGTTTACTGAGTGAAGTCTAAGAACTGTTATTAATACAAAAAACTAAATACCATATTTAATTCAATTATCATTTATTCAGAATTTCTTATGTAAGGTTCAAGATGTTGCTGAAGCTTCTTGATCATATCTTCATCAAATCCTAAATTCACAAATGCTTTCATTTTTTCAAGATGCTCACCTGTCTCTTTTTTAACTATCTCAACTTCAACAAGACCACTTCTGTTTACTGTTGTTTGGTAAATCATTTTAAATTCTCCTGCTTTTAATCCAGGTGGAAGTCCTTCTATTGTTACTTCTGTGACAAGTTCCATTCCTTCTTCATTTGTTTTCTTTCCTTCTCCTTTATAAATTGGTATATTAACGCTTCTTTGATTATCAAATGCATTAAAATACTCACCCTCAAAAGTAATTGGTAATT